GGGTGCAGAGGAGGCTCTGTGCTCCTCTGAGGAGGCTCCAGGGAGGGAGAGAAGGGGTTGTCCCCTCCCCATTTGAAACCATGTAAGGGAAAGCTTCAAGAAAACCAGAGCTCTGGACCTAAGCCCTTGGAGGACCTGCTGTAGGACAGGAAAATGCTGAGAAGATAGCCCAACTAGAGCTGCCCTCCCCCAGCAGAGAAAGAGGGGACCGGCCCACACCCCTGAGCAAGGCAAGCGACGCCATTGGGCTTTGTGGGCGTCCCTGCTGGCTCAGTTGGTAAAGAATCCACCGGAAATGCAGGAGACCCGGGTTCGATCCCTGGATTGGGAAGATCTCTTGGAAAATGAAATGGTAACCCACTCCAGTATTGCCTGGAGCATTCCAGGCAGGATTCTTGCCTGAAAAATCCCATGGACAGAGGAGACTGGCAGGCTATACCGTCCATGGGATTGCAAAGAGTCGGACAGGACTGAGCATCTGAGCACAGAGAAATAGAGATGCGAGCTGGAGGCAGGAAATGCACAGAGGACTTCTTTCTGTCCTAAAAGGGTGCTAAAGAGGAAATACAGTAAGTCCCCTGCGTACAAACATTCTGAGAGTGTCTTTGTAAATCCACTTTGTTCATAAGTCCAACAAAGTTAGCCTAGGTACCCAACTAACACAATTTGCTATATAGCATTGTACTGTAATAAGTTTATAAGACTTTTCACAGAAAGTAGTACATAAAAAATGCCAAAAATAAAACATTTTTAATCTTACAGTGTGGTACCTTGAAAAGTACAGTAGTATCAGTACTATTTCCCTGGTGGCTCAGTCAGTAAAGAATCAGACTGCAATGTGCTGGAGAACTGGGCTTGATCTCTGGGTTGGGAAGGTCCCCTGGAGGAGGGCACGGCTACCCACTCCAGTGTTCTTGCCTGGAGAATCCAGTAGATAGAGGAACCTGTCGGGCTCTGGTCCACGGGGTCACAAAGAGTCAGACACAACAGAGCAACTAAGCATACCAGCTATACCGCCGCTGCTTTTATGCTTGCTTCTGGATATCCTGGGCTGAAAATAAAGATCCTGTACACTACTGTAGTCCATACAGTACCGTACAGTAGGTTACACGAAGCTCAACCGCTTGCAGAGAACACACGCATATGACCATGCGCGCCAGACACCTGAACTAACTGATGTGATTGGACATGTGAACACGTGTGCATCTTTGCAAGTTTGAAACATGAAGGTTTGTGTGTAGGGGACTTAACCGTTCTCTGACACTTGTTAAAACGGTAAGGAGGGCTTTATTTTGATAGGTGTCAAGTCTACAGCAGTAGGGCAAAGTGGTTGGGCTTAACTCTGGGAACAGTAAAGACAGTCAGCGATTTATAGCCAGTGAGCAGGGTGAAGGGAGTCAGTACACGGAAAATTATTAGGAGGAGGCATGAAGGGCAGGGGGGTTCTTGCTAAACCACCCCCATCTTGTGAGGGGACTCATGCAGCCTGGGAGGAAGAAGCCCATGTGGACGGGAACAGAGGCCCACACCCAAAACCCACACCACACAGTGAAGGTTACTGGGAACCCAAGCCGCAGACAAGCCTTGGAATGACGTCAGCCCATGCCTTGACTGCAACTTCCTGAGACCCTAAACCAGAATCACACAGCTAAGCTGCTTCTGAATTCTTGACCCAAAGAAACAGATAATAGGGTTCATACCCCGCCTTAATCATCACGTACTGCATCTCTGCCACTGAAAGAGAAGTGTGATGTGCAGTCTGGGGACGAACAGGATTTCTAAGTAGCCAATAGCTATCTGGGTATCCCAATGACACTATTGTATTATATGATTGTTTTCAGAATTTTAAATAAACTTTAGAGAAAAGTAGCTGATTTTTGTTTTAATCATCAAGGCTTTGCAAGTATTTGAATGTACTCAGAAGCTGACAATGCTTGATTGAATGTTTTATAATAAGGATATTATTGGGGGGGTCGGATCTTAGTTCTCTGACCAGAGATCAAACTCACACCCCTTGTGTTAAAAGTGTGGAGTTTTAACCACTGGACCACCAGGGAAGTTCCTATAATAAAGATTTTTCTATGCTCTTTTCATTAACTTTGTGTGTGGGGTGGGGGGGAAGGAGGGAATATATTTCGTTTACCCTGATTAACCTCCCATCTCCATTCATATGAGCCTAGATTATAAAATTTGATTTGTGATAGACTGAATGTTTAATTTAAATAACCCAATGAAATATAAACATATTAAGAAAATAACATTCAACATCCACTTGTGAAATTTCAAAATATAGAAACTGCTTCCTTGTTCTCATTAAAAAACCAACCAACACCCCACCACCACCAAAAAGACTCCCACACCCTCACCTCATTCTTTTCTAATCTCTCTCCCTATTTTCTCTTTACTCTTGACGTCAAGATTAACCCCTTGCTGTGCCTGTGGTAACCATGTTTTGCAGGGAAGAAATGATGCAATAATTATATGAAACAAAGTGGGGAGAGGCAGACCAGTTTTCAGCGTCATCTTATTGCTAAAACTTTTGCTCCAGCGGCGTTGGGAATAACTTGAAAGTAGAGTTAATGTTGATCACAGTAGAAAGTAGAGTTAATAATGATCACAACTCGGTAAATGCTGAGTCAGCCACCTAGACACTTCTTTCCTCTCTCCTTTTCTTACCCTGTGGTGGTCCTCATGGAAAAGTGTGACTTCAAATGAAACCCAGAAGTAGAAAAGGCCTTACACTCCCTTAAGAATAGCACTTTGCAAAGAATTCTTCATTATGCAAGGAACTAAGGAAATGTCTAGCAATAAATACCGATTTGACTATTACATTTTCATTAGCACATAGTGCGTACTTTAGTACAGTAACAAACTAACGCCAGTTAAAAATAGTCAATGAATAATTGGGACCCAGATCTTCAGTAATAGTCTTCTTACAGAGTCGCCCTTTAAAATAACTGCTGAGTGTGCGTAAACTCAGGAAAAATCTGGCACCTCCAGGATTTAACTTGAAAAGAGAAAGCAGCAGAAGACCTGGGGAGCTATTAAGGAAACATCAGTGTGATTCAGACTTCCTTCTGTCACTGACTATTTTCAGGTTCAGTTTTGTTTGAAAACAATTCTCCTGGGATGGGGAGCAAACAATAGCAGTCCCAGCACTTAGCTGTTCCTTTTCAGAGGACTCGCTGGAGCCCTGACAGGTCACCACCACAGAAACACGCCTCAGCTCAGTCACTGCTAAGCTTGAGAGGCAGAAGTATAAACACTTGATTCCCGACAAATGGCTGGAGTGTATTTAAGTCTTTATTTCCGACCAGTGCAGAGAAGTCGGCTTAACTTTTGGACAGGTTGGGGGTAGGCCAGACACACACAGGGAAGTTTGAGAAAGCCCACAAGGATAGATCTGAATTCAAGATTCTTCCTACACTGGCCCACAGGTTGTCCCAGGGCCTTCCGGAGGGCAGGCCGAAAACACCCTTTAATATTTTACCTCTGCTCCGTCATTCTGACAGGCAATGGAAGTCCCAGAGTTTAAAGTCGTGCTTTAACAGGGCAAAAAGTTTTACCAACTAAAACGTGTATAGAGCAACACAAAATTCAGACATTTTCTGTGTGATGACATAAATTCTCTTTGTATTTCCTAAGGTTCTTGCTGGTTTTACACCCTTGAGTGGCCCTTCTTATTTTGAAAGAGGAGTTGATAATCCATACAGTAAAAATGAAGAAATACCCATGCAGGGTTAAATAACACCTAAATTTCAGAAATACTCCGGTTAAACATTTTAACATGAATGCTGCCCGTTTAGAATGACTCATTGTTTCAAAATATTTTGGTTGAATTTTAATGTTGGTTTATTTTAAACTATTGAATAGAAGAATCCAGAAGGCAATTTCCTCTCTAATCTTATTTATACCTTTTAGTTTCCTGCATCAGAGGCTTTTAAATCATTTACCTAATATATATATAATATTTAATTCCATCTTGTAATTCAAGACTGTTACAAGAATGAAGTGTTTCCTAAGTAATTACTACAAGAAAGGAAGGAAAAAACTAAAATTATTTTATTCAAATTCATACTTTATAAGGCAAGGCCAGAGCTTTCTTGTTAATTTCTTAATTAAATATCATATCAAAGAACAGAAAGAAAAAAATTTGACAATTCCTTTCAGATCATCAAATCAGTGGAAATAGACACATTGAAACGGACATTCAGTTCTAATAAAATTAATTGATACCAATAGCTTAGTTTTGAGAAACTCGGGTAGGTTGCAGAAATGTTCGCATAGGATTTCCTATTTTTAGTGTTTGTAAAAAAAGAGTCAAATGTTTGTCCAAGAGTAGTAATGCTCTTTATCAGTGTCAGAATAAAAATTCAAATTTTTAACATTCAGAAAGAAGCAGAATAGTGTTGTTGCTTTTTTCAACTGAAAATCGAAACTGTAACTCTGTAAAATGCTTTCAGCTGTTTATCAAAGCTACCTTGAAGCCTGAGTTTCTCTCAAGATAAAATTTTCCTCATCCATGTCAGTATTAAAGATTTCTTGTTACTGAGAATATAGCCACATTCTAAGAAAGCATCGATCAATGAATAATTAATAAATAGAAAACCCCATCACTAAATTAAGAAAAAAAAAAGAACAAAAAAATCTTTATCTCAAGGTCTGAAACACTCAACAAAGATGCCTCATTTCAAGACAATTTGCGAGATGTTCCAGCCACTAGGGTTCCTGAAGTTCAGGAAACTGGCTTCATTTGCACTGTGGTTAAAGTCCTTGAGAGAATTTCTTAAAAAAAAAAAACAAAAAAAAAACCTGCTGTAAAGGCCATTCTGGGCTCGCTTCATGGGCTCGGGGCCAGCACTGCTGCTTGGCATCCAGGTCAGAAGGTCCCACAACTATCGGTTAAGTCTCTGTCGTGGAATTTAGAGTGACTTTCCTTTAGCATTTGAGTTTTTTGAGTGAAGCGTGCTCTAGGGCTTGGAGTCTCAGCTCACACGTACTCCAGCTCCCACTGTCTCCCAGTCAGGTTCTAAGTCACTTGCTCCGTGAGCCTGGCCCCACGCCCCCTGGTTCACCGGCCTGGTCTCTGCCTGAGGTCCACACGCGCGGCGATGCAGGCGGGAACTGGGGCCTGAGGCGCATGCGCAGCACATCCTGGCGTGGGGCGTGGCTCGCCCAGGGCTGGCTGCCCCTTGGTTCTTCGTGGATGGCACACAGGAGTAGGCTCTTGCCCTCTTCCTTCCAGCTCCCTAGAGCATCCCTCAGAGGAAGTTGCAACAGTCTTGGCCTTTGGGAGGGGGCAGCCGGCCGAGGGGCGGGAGAGACGTTGCCCCTGCTTCCAGGCAATGCAGGCAAGGCATGATGGTTTGATGCCAGGGGGCCGGAGGCGCAGAGAGGGAGTGGGGACCCAACCGCTGATGACCTGCACACACACCAAGTCGGGGGTAGGGGCATCTGTGAGGGTCTGCACTAGCTCTGTGAGTGTCCTGGGGCCCGAGGGAGCATGGCATCAAACAGCAAATTAAAACACACCAATATAGCAGAGAGACAGACCCTTAGGAACAAGTATCTTCTAAATAGTATTTCTGAGACATTTGTCAACCTTAGTAAAATTTACACAATTCTGTTACTGATTTGTAACTTCAGTGGGACAAGAATGAAAAGAAAGTGAAGTTGCTCAGTCATGTCCAACTCTTTGAGACTCCATGGACTGTAGCCTACCAGGTTCCTCTGTCCATGGAATTTTCCAGGCAAGAATACTGGAGTGGGTTGCTGTTTCCTTCTCCAGGGGATCTTCCCAACCCAGGGATGGAACCTGGGTCTCCCGCATTAAGGGCATATGCTTTACCATCTGAGCCGCCAGGGATAAGCAACTATCTATACAGGTACAGATGTTGCTTATGAGGGGCTTCCCAGGTGGCACTAGTGGTAAAGAACCCGCCTGCCAATGCAGGTAGATATAAGAGACATGGGTTCAATTCTTGGGTTGGGAAGATCCCCTGGAGTAGGAAATAGCAACCCCCTCCAGTATTCTTGCCTGGAGAATTCCACGGACAGAAAAGCCTGGCAGGCTACAGTCCATAGCGTCGTACAGACTCAGACATGAGTGAAGTGACTTAGCACGTACACATTTGCTTATGTAAGGGGGCTATTTTGGTATAGGTTGTTTTCAGCTAAAATCCACGCTGCAGCTTCTCCTGTCTGTGCTGTGTTCTAGGAGGCTGCCCTCTATGGGCTCACTGGTGTTCAAGTAGGTCCAGCAACGTTAGGCAAGATGATGTGAGTAGAGACCCAGAGTAGAGGGAATTTGGGAGCTTGTTCCCCGGGTCTGTCCTTGCCGAGGCTGCCTTCCTCGGTTCTAGGTCTTCTAGACACGCCTCTCGGCCACCTCTCCCTGGTTCACAGGAGTTGTTGCCTCTCCTCGCCATTTTGATTGGTAATGGACTTGCCAATTCCCAGGTGTCATTGTCTGGCATTAGTCCTTACCCATGCTCACCACGCTGTGTACTCTTCCTTGGTGTGGTGTTCAAGTTGCTCAGTCGTGTCCAACTCTTTGTGACCCCATGGACTGCAGCACGCCAGGCTTCCCTGTCCGTCACCGTCTCCCGGAGCTTGCTCAAACGCATGTCTGTTGAGTAAGTGATGCCATCCAGCCATCTCATCCTCTGTCGCCCCCTTCTCCTGTTGCCTTCGATCTTTCTCAGCATCAGGGGCTCTTCCAATGAGTCAGCTCTTCGCATCAGGTGGCCACAGTATTGGAGCTACTTTCCTTCCTTAAGCCTTCTTTGGTGAAGCCCTTTGGGTCTGCCTTCTGTTTTGCCAGAACTCTGAGTGCGACAGCACCTCTTACTGACAGAGTGTCCAAGTGGCTGCAGTTCAGCTTTCTAGTTTGGAGGGGTTTTACTGGAGCATACATCTTAGAAATGCTGTCATTTCATTTCTGGATAATCTCTAAGCATCCTCTGGTGGCCTGGCAATATGCTAACTTGGCTAAGACTAACCAGCAGTTCCCGGAATTCTCTTCCCTGTGTATTTCTGGTTAGGGCTGGCCACAAAGACATTTGAAAAGGGGAAGTGAAGTCGCAGTTACATTATTTGTATGCCTGGGAGATCGGTGGAGAGGCCTACGGGGCAGTTCACTCCTGGTGTCGCATACCTTCCAGCCCACCTCGTGGGTGTCAGCAGCTGCTCCATCACCCCCACATCCTGCTTTTCACTTTTGTGGTACCTGGACCAGGGGTGTGTGTTTAGCTCTAAGATGAAAAGTGCCAGGTCCCCATGTATCTCTGTGGGCTCCAGCTCAAGTTCATGCACCCAATTAGTTCCCTTTCCTGCCCTCCAACCCTTCACCTTCTTCCCTTTCTGCCCCTGGCCCTGTAGACAGAAGGTCAAGCACTGCCTAACCAGTTGCTAGGATTGTGGGAGGTCAATCTTCATAACATAACCATATTTGAATGATAAAGAATATATATATATAGTGGTTCTGTGTCTCTGCTAAATCCCTCACATAGTGACACTACTATTATCTTCCCATATGTACATTAGTTGTTTAAATCCTTTTGTTATATTTTTATCTCTCTTCTTCATTAATGCCATTTCAACTCATTTCAGAGTCTCATTACCTTCTAAGATATCTTAGAAATAGCACTGTGAGACTGTATTCTCTTTGAGAACATAATTAAGTAATTAGCATCAGTCTGGATGCCTGATTTGAGGCCATTAGCATCCTCACAGAAGCTAAGATTTGGACATTAAAATTCAAATTAGCTATTTTTAATTTTTCTCAAACTGTTGTATGATAGTTATTAGGTTTTTAAAAAATATTTTAAAAATCATTAACTTATAAATTTGAAATGTTCTGTGCATTTCACTTAGCTGTGTTAATCCCACTCTTTCTCATCCTGTTTCTCTTTTGTTTATGGGTGCCTAAATTGGTCAGAAGTACTAATGTATTACACCATAGTGGTGGTTTATTCGCTCAGCCTTGTCTGATTCTTGCGACACCATGGCTGCAGCCCGCCAGGCTCCTCTGTTCATGGAATTTTCCAGGCAAGAATACTGGTTTCCTCCTCCAGAGATCTTCCCCACCCAGGGATTGGATCTGCATCTCTTGTGTCTCCTGCCTTGGCAGACGAATTCTTTACCACTAGCACCACATGGATGTCTAATTTGGTCAGAAAATGGGTGTTATTTATTCTTTTCTTAAACTAGTAAGCAGCATCCTTTCATTCATTATTTTACCAGTGGAAGGTAAAGACTTTCTATTATTGGACCAGTAAAAATCCATCCATGTGAACACATTTCTGACTGTGACATCCTTTGCAGTCACAGAAACATTTTTCATATTCCACATATTTGAAACTCATTATTATGTCACTCATGCCCTTTGTGGGCATAAGAAACAAAGGATGCTAATTAGTGTACTTAACAATAAATCCTAGATGTGGCTACATTCCTTTTTTTTTTTCTTACTTTGGAATTTATCCTTCAAAGTTAGGACTCAGATGCATAGTTTATTCATTGTCTGATATCCACATCTGATTTTTTAAAAAGGTGATATGTTAGGTAATAATATTCAGAACAAATTAGGTCAGGATTTTTTTTATGAACATCTTTGCTTTTATGGATTATGTGATGTTGTGGATTGCACCCAAATATTTTTATATTAGAAAAGGGAAAAATTTATTTTTTCAAAGATAAGTGTAATAAATATGATAAACATACCTAAGAATCATAAGATCTTTTGTTTATTTTATAAAGGAAAGTGAGTGAGCAAAACCTGAATCTTAGCTTGTTAATTTGTGAGGTTACCTAAGTATAGCACAATCATTATTTGGAAAAAGTTATACTTTAAATATCTTTTTATATGCACCAGTCTGAAAAATATTATTTAATGTAACCATTTTTTTTGTTACTATGTGAACTCCATCTTAAGAGATAAGTAAGAACATTCATATTAATAAGGACATGCATTATCATATTTAATTAAATACCATCCACAGTGGAACTCATCAATCTGAAGAGGATACTGCACTTGAGTAATGGCAGACCATTACAGAAACTTAGTCAAGACTTTCTTCTAATTTTAAAAATCATTTTCTAAATCCAATAGATATATTGGCACAGTGTTCATTTTAGTTAAAAGATGTTTGCTTTAAAAGTGATTGGCACAGAACCTGGCCAGTGTTCTAATACACTAATTTTATACTCCTGGGCTACTCACTACAGAGATGAGAAGCATGGTCAGTTCTGAGCAAGAACTAAGTTTGTAATTAACATGGAGTTTGTTTGGATGGGCTGAAGGAAGGAGAGAGAAATAAATTCATAGCAATGGCATCTGAAATTAATATTAAACTTTCCATAGTGAAATATATTTTGTATAATTTACCACTAGCAAATTGATTTTATTTGTGTGATATATATTCCATAATTCTTTAAAATATAGACTAGCATGATCAACAGTGATATCCAAAATAGTCATTACCTAGACTTTAAAAAGTCACTGGAAAAGAAGCAGCCAATTTCTGTTTTCAATGTCTAGAGAAAGGAAGGGACATTTGCCCTATGCATTTCATTCCTTGCTTAATGGAGCAATTATTGGACATTTGGGAAAAAAAGAAAAAATTAATATTTCAACAAAAAAAAATGACCATGTAATCTTAGATCCAGAATTCCTGGTGGAATTCCAATAGATAAATTAAAGTGCTACTTTCCTTTTCAGGAAAACAGAGTAATTAAATTATCTTCTTTTAAATAAGATTGATTTTTTAAAAATTCCTTTTACATTGATCTAAGGGTGGCTCAGACAGTAAAGCGTCTGCCCGCAATGCGGGAGACCTGGGTTCGATCCCTGAGTCAGGAAGATCCCCTGGAGAAGGAAATGGCAACCCACTCCAGTACTTTTGCCTAGAAAATTCCATGGATAGAGGAGCCTGGTGGGCTATAGTCCATGGGGTCGCAAAGAGTTGGACAAGACTGAGCAACTTCACTTTTCACTTTAAGGTGATTTCAATATTTTCTAATTTGTAACATTGAAATGATCCTTTCACATAGTGTGATAATATTAAGCATATTATTTTTCTTGGATTAGATGCCTAGCATTCTAGTTCACATTAAAGTTATATATTCACTTTCAATCCCCAGTAACTTACTC